CGTTGGCCCACTCGCGGCTGTGGGACGCCGTCGGGGGCTTCATGTTTCTGTTCGCACACATGCAGGACAAGCTCTCGAAGAACTCGTCCCAATTGGATCTGCTGTTGGAACTGTTGGACCTCCAGAAAGAGATGGTGATTATGATGTTGTCGATGCTCGAGGGAAACGTTATGAACGGCACGATCGGTAAACAAATGGTGGACACACTCGTGGAGAGCGCCGCCAATGTTGAGGTCAGTGGTAGTGATGGTTATGTTTTGTCCGCAAAAATAATGCCAGAAGAATATTCTTCGCGCATATCTGTTGTGTGTTTTGTTTTATGTGATAATATGTTTGAATTGTGGTGTCTTTGCAGATGATTCTCAAGTTTTTCGACATGTTTCTCAAACTCAAAGAAGTGATCACTTCCGCCGCGTTTCAGGTCAGTGTCCATCTATTATAACCACTCATTGATTGTCACAATTTATAATTATCTTATTGTTACCACCGATGACCACACCGTATACACAGGAGATCGACAAGAAGAACATCGGTTGGGTGACCGCCAAAGACTTCCAGAAGGCGATGGAACAGCAGAAGATCTACGCGCCGGAAGAGATCCAATACCTGATGTCGTGCTGTGAGCCCAACCACGACGGCCTCATCGACTACCGCGAGTTCACCGAACGCTTCCACAATCCGGCCAAAGACATCGGCTTCAATCTGGCCGTCCTGTTGACCAACCTATCGGAACACATGACAAACGACCCGCGACTGCAGCGGTTCCTCGAGACGGCCTCATCGGTGCTCAACTATTTCGAGAACTTCTTGGGCCGCATAGAGATCATGGGTTCGTCCAAACGGATCGAAAGGGTGNCTATTTCGAGAACTTCTTGGGCCGCATAGAGATCATGGGTTCGTCCAAACGGATCGAAAGGGTGTACTTCGAGATCAAAGAGGAGACCATTAATCAGTGGGAGAAACCGCAGATCAAAGAGTCGAAGCGCGCGTTCTTCTACTCGATTGTCACCGAAGGCGGAGATAAGGAGAAGTTGGAAGCGTTTGTCAACTTCTGCGAAGACGCCATCTTTGAGATGCAACACGCGAGCAGTATATCCATGGAGGACGACGAAGAGCCCACCAAAGCAGGTACGGCCCACACACACGCCATTCCCGGCCACTGGCCAGTCGTGTTCGCGTGAATCTTGTATTTTACTGATAATGTCTTTTTTTGTGTCAGTGTATGTGACGTATGTTTGTTTAACAGTTGTCTAAGTTTTTGTTAATTTTGTTTATGTTTGCTGTTTTGTCATGATTTCTATGTGCAGTAGTTAATCGTGATTATTTATACAGATTTACACAATATAAATGACATAAATATAACATACAGCCCCCTATAGGCCCTCTCTCTATACTGACCGCTCCCAAAATTATTGATACACTTTGTATAAACTATGTCTCCATAACAGGTGACTACCCCTACCCGGGCAGCGAAGAGGCGCCCGCGTCGTCACTGGAACCGATCCGAAACCTATTCCGATACGTATGGCTACGACTGTGCAAACTGTTCGGTCACCTCAAGCCCTCAAATCTGCGCAAACAGTGGCAACGACTCAAAGAGAAGACATACTTCGAGCTGTTTATCGGCTTTTTTAAGCTCACATTCGGTTCGCTGTTTTTGGGCGGATATACCATATATTACATCAACAAATGTGTCTTCAAATTCATACTCAAACTCATGACCGGTGAGCCGATCGCCGGCGGCGACGGTTACGGACCCGACGACTACGAGTACGAGTACGACACCGGCGGCACCGATAAGGCGCTTATGCCGGCCGGCGGTTCGCCCTCCGCCGCCGCCGCGGCCCAGACTCCACTCCCGGACACAACGCGTATGGCTATTATGAGTGCCGAAGACAGCGCCGCGGCTTCAGTAGCGACTGATGGTGTCGGCGATCACCAGCCAAACGGACAGTTGCCCGACGGCGACAGTCCGATGGCTGACGGCAAGCACAGGACGAACGGCGATCTTAAGGCTATGGACGGCGAGGCTGTTGTCGCCGCTGAAGATCAGGAAACGGCTGGCGCTGAAGAACAGATGATGGCGGCCGAGTCCCCGCCTCCGACGGCACCGCCTATGGTTCCCGTCGAAGACGCCGGCGGTAACGGCGGAGCCGGTGGTAGCGGTAAAGCGACGGCCGACGCACCGGTGGTGAACTCTATGCCAAATGTGGCCAACTATACGAAGCGATTTGTGTATTGGTTGGCCAGAAATCTATACACATTTAAAAAGATCGCTCTGTTTATGGCGTTTATCATCAATTTGATGCTTCTCTTCTACAAAGTGACCAGTTTTATACCCGACGGCGACGGCGGCGACTCCGACGGCACCGATGCCGGCGATGACGGCTCGGCTGAGGCGGCGGTCGATGCCGTGGCCGACATTATAGAGGAGGTGACCACTGCGGCGGCCGATCTATTAACAGGTGATGCAAATTCTTTAGCAAATTGTTTAACATTTGTTACATATTATGTATTAATTGTGATGTCTTTGCCGTACAAACAACAGGTGGCGACGGAGGAGGAGATCCGGGCGGCGGTGACGACGACGGCGACGACAACGTGATCGAGTGGCTCCAGATGGAGGAGGGCTGGTACTACTTGGAGCCGGTGCTCCGCGGGCTGGCGCTGCTCCACTCTCTGCTCTCGTTTTGTATGCTAATCGCGTACTACAACCTCAAAGTACCACTCATTATCTTCAAGCGGGAGAAAGAGGTCGCGCGACTCATGGAGTTTGACGGCCTGTATATCAGCGAACAGCCCGAAGACGACTACCGGGCCCAGTGGGACAAACTGGTGATCAGCACCCGGAGCTTTCCCGTGAATTACTGGGACAAGTTTGTGAAGAAGCGCGTGCGGGCCA